TTGAGTGAGTATCTTAAACCTCTCCCTCCTTCATGGCATTCGTGTCCCGGTGACCGCAGCGGGCCTCAGCTGACTTCAGGGATGCACTTTTTGTCAGCAGCTGTTAGGAGACTCATCCTTTTTAGGGTTGGTGGGTGAGAGGCTAACCATCAGTGATCACAGCCCACAGATGAACTCGGACCATTGCCCACTTCTCACTGCCTTCACCCACACTTGGTAAGCTGTCCAGAGTCGTGTATCATTTACTGAGTTTAAATGTAAGACTGGATCCCGCTGTTTAAAAGCATAAAACCTATGGCCTCTCACTGACTTCGAGCCCTGGAAAAGGGAGCCGGAGCAAATTCGGATTTACAGACCTTTCAAAACACAGGCTGAGCCAGGTCGCCTCTCTGAGAACTGCTTTTTCCTCCCTGGACACTCATTCTCTTTTGTTGGCCCCTTTTCTACCCTTAAGTGTTGAAGTTCCCCAAGATTTACCACTGAGCCTTATTTTATAATCACTCCTAGTCAAGCTGACCTACTCCCAGAACGTTCATCACCGTTGATGTATTGACAATTCCCAAATTTGAATCAACAGACCAGAGCTTTCTTCAAATTCCTCAGCCCATCTCATGTGTCCACTTATGCACCTGCCCTCACTCTCTGCCTCTACCTCTCAGGCACCCCACGTTCAGGAAAACTAAACTCGTGATTTTCTTGCCCACTCTCATGCCACAAATATCATTGGTTTTTTTTTTTGTTGTTTTCTATTTCCTATTCTTAGTAAACGGCTCCAGCGGTGGGTACTCAGCCCAGTAGCCTGGCAGTCACCCTTCACAATCCCTTTCTCTTCCACCTCGAATCCAGTCCATTACCAGTTCTTACCACTTTTACCCCCTGAAGATTTTTCGACACCATCTACTCTTCTCCATCTCCACCGCTGCCTTCTTAAACTGGATCACCACCATCTGGGCTTAGATTCATTCAGAAGCCTCCTAGCTGGTCCTCTGGCTTTTTTCACTCTTGGCTCTATTCAATTCATTCTCTCCACAGTACTTGGTATTCTTCCTCAAACATAAGTCAAATATTCTTAAAATGCAGTACTAACTTCTCACTGTTATTTACAGTGATCCACAAAGCCCTTCATGATCTGTTCCCGCAGTGTGCTGACATTGTACCACGTTTTTATCTTTATTTTTTTTTAAGATTTTATTGAGGAATTGGGGGAGGGGAACAGTGTTGGGGAATTGAGGGAGGAGATCAACCAAGCTGTTGTCCTTCAGTCTTAGTTGTGGAGGGCGCAGCTAGCTCAGCTCCAAGTCCAGTCACCATCTGGCTGCCCAGAGGCAGCTCGCAGCCACTCAGCTCAGGGTGCTGTGTACAGTCTTAGTTGCAGGTGGGCGTAGCCACCACCCCATGTGGGAGTCAAACTGGCAGCCTTGTTGTTAAGAGCGCATGCTCTATCCCCTGAGCCACCCAGACCGCAGCTCAGCTCCAGGTGCTGAGTTCAGTCTTTAGTTGCGGGCGGGTGTAGCCACCATCTCGAACAGGCACCCTTGTTGTTAGGAGCATGTGCTCTCACCAGCTGAGCTATCCTGTCATTTGTTGACAGCTCAGCTCGGGCGCAGCTTACTGACCCACTTGGGAATCAAACCGGCGACGCTGTTGCTCAGAGCTCACACTCTTAAGCAAGCTGTTAACGAGCTGAGCCACTCAGCCAACCCCCATGTTTTTATCTTGTATAGGTTATCACATCCTTAATAATTCAGTCCCTCACGGGGCTATGAGCACCTTAACAGCAGGAACTGGGCATGTCTTGTTAATTGTTATAGCCCTGGCATTAAATTTGGCAATGCCAGTTTGCCATATCAGTATATATGATAATGTATAACCCTTAGCCTGTATGTAGCCGGAAAATGACCTTTGGGACCACGAAGGGAAATTCTTACATCGTCTATGGAGATACAATGAACAGCTGTTTCAGTATAAAATTTACTATCTCAACTTTAGGTGACTTTTTCTGTGGGAGCAAGTATGTTTCTGTGTATAAAGGGAAAATAGAAGATAGGAGCCACTTGTGGGAATTTATCACTATCTATACCCTGGAAAAAGAAGTCCAAAAAGAACACCCACCTGGTTTAAAACCTCCCCAGTGAGAAAAAGTGGCCAGAAGCAGTGAGCCAGTTAGACATCATGGTGCATAGAAAGGAGGCAGCTTGTGTAGACAGGGAAAGTCACTGAGTTCCAGACTCAGAGCCCAACACTGCTGCTTTGACCTGGGTATAATCCTGATTCACACATTCAACAAATAGCTATTGCCAGGTCCTGGAGTCCTCATGCCTGTAATACGAGAGTCCAGACTAGGAAACTTCTGAGGTCTCTTGCAGTCTGAGAGTCTGTGTGTGCAGACAACCCTAATAACGCATTGAAGCCATCACTGGCTGATTATCAGTACCCTCTCTTCCCACCGGGTCACATTTTCCCTGGCTCATGTGGTCCTCTCTGTCTTTCAGCATCACAGAACACATAGACTTTGCCACTCCAATACAGCAGCCTGCGATGGAGCCTCTTTGCAACGGTAATCTCCCCACGAGCATGCACACCCTGGACCACCTGCATGGCGTTTCCAACCGAGCCAGCCTGCACTACACGGGCGAGAGTCAGCTAACAGAGGTGCGTGCCCAGCTCTACTCAGCCTGTCGGTCCTTTTTAAGCCCACAGTTAGGGTGCAGTTAATAGCAGGGTGCACGGTGGTCAGGCCATATTTTATTGCCCTTTTTTGGCTGGCTGTCATCTAGGTCGCTTTAGGCTAAACCTGACTCCTCTCAGGCCCTGAAACTAAGCTTATACTTCTTTGTATGACCAGCAAATTTTAATTCTGATGCACTCCTCAAGGTGGGTAGCGCTCTGCTTGCCAGACAGAGGCTCTTGCAAGAAATATTTGGGGCAGTTAATCCTCCTGTTGGCATTCTAAAGAAGAAGGGAAGGAGGGCAGCCCCAGCATCTATACCAAGAATATAAAGAATATACCAAGAAGAATGGGGAAAACATGTCACAAATGTCTAGCAATAGGGGTTTTGTGAAATAAATGTTGGCATAGATGTAAGATAGTACACAGTACAGCCATCAAGAAAGATGTAGCAGAAATACATTTTCTAGCATAAAGAAATTTTTTAGAATATATTGTGTGAAAATGTAGGTGACAGTATACAGTGTGATCCAGTATTCTGTGAAAAAATTAATCTGTGTACATAGAAAAAAGATATATAGAAAGATATTCACAGTAGTTGTTTCTGGGTGACAGGATTACAAATAGCTTCTATTTTCTTTATTTATTTCCCTAATATTGCTATAATGCATGTGTTTTATGTGTCTCTAATTTTTGTTAACTGGGAGAGAGCTAAAGGGATGGCATAATGGCCTTAAATGTGTCTTCCACAAAACGCCTTACCACCAGGGCCTCAGCATGTCCCCCAGAGAGGAGATTTGCTTGTGAGGTAGAGTGCTCAGCTCAGCATCAGCAGTGTCACCTAGATCCTGCCTCATTTCATTGCTCTAATCAACCATCTTCCTACACCAGGTACTGCAAAATCTCGGCAAAGACCAATATCCACAACAGTCACTTGAACAGATTGGCACCCGAATTGCCAAAGTTTTGGAAAAGGTAAGGCATCCTGTGGTAAAGCTGGAAACCAGTGCTGCCCTTCTAACTTTTCCAGATTATTTGCCACTAAGAGGCTTTAACCTCTTCTGATAAGTTACTTGGCATTTGGTACCTGATGGGATAACATGAAATAACTCCACACAGCATGTTTCAATCACTTCTCCTTTTCCATCACTTGGTTAGTAGTTTTTGCTGCTTTTTTTACCTGCTGTGATGAAACCGACCTAATCAGTTTTCTCTGCTTTGCTCCAGCATGGGTCTGTGTAGACGGTGGTACCTGAAATAAGTCGGGTGTTCCTCTAGTGGCGAAGAATATCTGCTATTTCAGAGAGTGGATGGGAACTACGTCTTTAAATACCTTTTTCTCTTGACATCATGAAACAAAATGTTTGCAAAACTACATCATCATGCAGCCCACAGAAAATGTAACTGAGAGTCTCTAAGATGACTCATCTGCCTCTGTGTGATATTTATGTAGAGAGAAGGTTTTTTTTAATTAATTACTTTATGGTTAAGTATCTCTCTACTTTATTACTATATAGATTTAAAAAGGTAATACAACATAGTCCTTAAGAGAATCAGCCCAACTTCCGATATGACGTGACGATACGATAAGGATAGGATAATCAGTTTCAAAAAAGACATTGAAAGCACATGGCCATCACGGCTCCATATGAGTTCTGAAATCTATCTGACGTATTCTGAAATGTGTCACCAGCTCCCCCAATTCCAGAGTAGGGACTATTTCTAGCAATTGAGAAAGTTTCGTTTTCTAACACTGTAAGTCCCAGCTTGAAAGCATTTTCTCTAAATTCTGCTTGAAAACTACACAATTCCTTGTTTAGTTCTTCTCTCTTTTAATGCCTCATGATAGGTGATATTTTAAAAACCGTTTGGCACTTTCAGCATTCTTCCGGGAAGCCTTCCTAGCCAGGTCCACAGCTTTGTTACGTATTTTGTCTATATTCCAATATACAGCCTCACCATTTGTTTTGCAAGAGATAACAGTGCCTCTTCTGTAACCTCCAATAGCGATTTCCTCAGTGCTCTGCCGGCCTCCATTGATAGTTTCATTGCTGCTTAGCAACCCATTCCCAACACTGATGCCACATGTTTCAAGTTTCTATTATAGCAACATTCCATCTTGATACCAAATACTATTTCAGTTATCTATTTCTGCCTAACAAACCACCCCAAAATTTACTACTCATTCAAAACAAAACGATTATTTGCTCAAGGTCTGCAATCTGAGCTGGACTCAGCTGGGCATTTCTTCCAGGCCCACTTGGTATCATTCATGCAACTGTAGACATGTGGAGACTCATCTGGGGCTGGCCAAAAAGAAAGCTTTACTCACATTTCTGGCGCCTCAGCTAGAGTGGCTGGAATCGCTGGGGCACAGCTGGGAATGTTCGCTGTCCGTGTAATCTCTCCAGCAGAGTAGCTGTACCTTTTCACATGGTGGCTTAGGGCTCTACGCAGGTGAAAACAGAAGCGTCCGGGCCTCGTAGAGCCCATGCACGGAACTGGAGCAGCACCACTTCTGTCCAAGCAAGTGCCAGCATCTGTTCAAAATTAAGGGCAAGAGAAACGTCCTCCACCTGCCAGCAGTGACAGAATGTGGGGCGCATCTTTAATCTACCACAGTTCCCTTCAAAGGAGCAACGCGGCTGACACCTCCTTAGCAGCAGCAGTGGAAACCAGAAACCAATGTAACAACATCTTTAAAGCTGAAGAAGAAAACTAGAAGCCTAGAATTCTATACCAGCAAAAATATCCTTCAGGGCCAGCCCAGTGGGGCATTGGTTAGGAGTTGGCTTGGGACGCCAGCTCTGAGCAGCAGGGCCCCAGTTTGGATCCCACATGAGGGCCAGTGACGCTGCGCCCTCTACAGCTAAGATGGTGAACAACAACTCAACCTGGAACTGGGCTGCCGTGAGTCGCCGGCGACAGCGTAGGCTGCAACCACTGCTGCAGTGGGCTGCTGTGAGCTACCGTGAATGGCTGGAAGCTAGCATGAGCTGCCGGCAGTCGGTGTGAGCTGCCGTGAGCCACTGTGAGTTGCAATCCAATGGCCAGCGAGCAATCTGCCTCACCCGGGAAGAGCACAATGATAATACCAACATGTGCCAGTGATGCGACGTCCTCCACAACTAGACTGAAGAACAGAAGGATAGCAACTTGTCTGAAGAACAAAAGGACAGTAACTTGTCTGTTCCCCTTCCCCAATTTCCCAACGCTGTTCCCCTCCCCCAATTCCCCAATACAATCTTAAAAAAAAAAAAATCCTTCAGATATTAAAGTGAAATAAAGATGTGTTCAAACAAACAAAAATTCAGCAAATTTGGCACCACTAGGCCTGCACTGAAATCATAATTAAAGGGAGTTCTTTGAGAAAATGGTCCCAGATAGAAAGATGAACATGAAAGAGGGAATAAAGAACGCTGGAAAGAAAAATAGAAATGAACAGTAACTGTACAAAATAATAATGGTAGTACCCTGTGGAGCTTCAGTTTTATATACACTAAAATTCATGGTAACAGTAACATAAATGATGCGGAGGACGTAAGTGGAGTTTAAAAGTCCTAAAGTTTAATTGGTATCAGCCAAGTAGTAAAAGTAATCATTCGCATTGGACTGTAATAAGTAAGAATGCATGTTTTAAAGTCTAAGCTAACTACTAAAAATGGTTTTAAAGTTGTAGTTTAATAGAAGGAAGGTGGAATAATGTAAATCATTTGATTAATCCAAAGAAAGCCAAGAAAGCTAAAGGCACATAAAAATAGAACACAAATAATAAATATAAACCCAAGGATATCAGTAGTTAAGTACAAAAAGATTATATAATTTAAGCATTTAGTATGGAATAGATTTTTTTTTTAATCCAACTGTATGCTACTTATAAGAGCAACACTTTAAATATTAGGGTACAGAGCATTGAAAGTACAAATATGGAAAATAATATACCATGCAAACAATGAAAAAAAGCTGGTATAGCTACACTCTTAGGAAAAATAAACTTGAAAGCAGGAAGCATTACTAGAGTTAGATGGGCTAAAATGAAAGATTGATAATGATAAATGTTGGTGATGATAATGGAGCAACCAGAACTCTCATAATTGATAGTGGGAGTATAACATGTTGCAATCATTTTGGAAGACAGCTTGGTAGTCTTATTAAAAATTAAGCATAAATGATCCGGTAATTTTACTGCTAGAGATAGGAAAACATATGTCCACAAAAACCTTGTTTAAAAATTATTCACGGGGCCAGCCGAGTGGCGCGTTGGTTAAGAGCTGGCTTGGGATGCCAGAGGACCCCAGTTCGGATCCCACATGTGAGGGCCAGTGACATTACCCCCTATAGCTAAGATGCTGAACAACAGCTCAACCTGGAGCTGGGCTGCCGTGAGTCGCCCGCGACGGCATAGGCTGCAGCCCCTGCTGCAGTGGGTTGCCATGGGCTACCATGTGTAGCCAGCAGCCAGCATGAGCGGCCAGCAGCCACCGTGAGCAGCCATCCAGAAGCCGGCTACTGATCTGCCTCGCCTGGGAAGAGCGCAATGATGGTGCCAACTTGGGCCAGTGAAGCAACATCCTCCACAACTAGACTGAAGAACAAAATGACAG